ATCTTCTCAAAAAGCGCCACTGCATCGACCGTAGCCTCTTTCCCTCAAATTCCGCCGAGGGTGAGCCCTGACGAATCGGGTACCCTTCTCTCCCACCCCTTCGGTCTTCGACTCCACCCGCTGACCCGCCAACCTGAGTGCGAGATGGTGAATGGGGTTCTCAGTTCTGCGGACACTGCCTCCATTGGATGTTGAAGATGAGCTGGAACTTGGTATCGACGGAGTCCAGCGCCATCACAGCCTTCGCGCCCTCGACTCTCACCACCGTCTTGATGTTCAGGTTGGGTGCGTTGTTGCACTCGCTCCAGACAAACGTCAGGAAGTCGTCCGTGAACTCGAAGCTGCCGACCTTCGGGCCTTCGATTTTTCGCTCGATCCTCGCCGTACCCGTTTGTCCGGAGAAGTAGTAGTGTGACTCATAGATGCCCGCGGAGTCCTTGGCGATGTCAGCGAACCCGCGGCCCGTGGCCTGACCCATGGAGAAGCTCCAGCCATCCGGGTAGACCAGATTGAAAGACATCTGGCAGTGCTTCCTCTTGTCCGCGAGCGACCCGTCCGTGGTCGCAACCATCCCGCCGAACATGAAGGTGACCGTCTTGTAGTCGTTCGACAGCACGTAGTTGGTGTTCTCATAATTGCAGCCCGAGCCTGCGTAGGTGACATAGCTGATRGTCACCTGCGGCGGAGCCTGCGCACTTGCCTGAACTGCAAGAACGATCATCAGAAGCACAGCCGAGAGAACCACCTGACCCGCCATTGCCCTCTACTTCTGCCTCCGCTCCCCGTCAATCAATGAGATTCCCCGCGCTTCACGGCGCCGAGGTCCAAGGAAGACACGAAAGAAGCGGCGAAGAGCCCCTCGCTGCTCCTCCCTTCGAACCCGCACTCGCCAACGTTTCTGCGATCAGCGTGCAAGCAATGAGCACCGGTTGCGAGTGCGTACACGGTACACTATCTAAGTTAGCTTGACAATGTATCGTCAGTCAATGCTCGTTCAAGGCAGTTCCGTTCGCTTTTATACAATGTCATTCGCTCGTAGCAGTCACTTCAAGGTCCGCCTCGATGCAGCACTCATGTGCCCCGATGGGGTGGCCCTGAGTGAGTCCCAAGAGACTCGTCTCACTGCGGCTTTCGGCCCCAATGGTTCTTTCGGCCCAGAGACTGTTACGTCGCTGCGAAAAATTAGCGCAAGCCTGACTCGCGGCGTTTTCTAGATGTTTCAGACCAGAAATGCTAGTCAGGTTCATGCTCTGTGGCCACCAGGGGGAGCAAGTTTTCTCTCTTTTTTTTTTAGTGGAGCAGTAGTTGCACACTTAGATCGTGTGTATGGCCGCTGGTCTATGAAGTCGAGGGTCCAGAATGAAGAATGCAGGCAAGTGGGACGCGCTCCCAGGTCTTTCGTCTGGAGGATGACATGGAATATCAGYATGCTCGCTGAAGCAACCAAACTGCAACTGGTCCAAAAGAAGAAAGAAAATGAAAGCTCGCGCAGATTAATATTTCTCAGCAGCGCTTGGGTTGAAAGTCGTGATTAGGGTTCCCGAAAAAGAAATCAGAAAAAGAGAACAAAGGACATCTCAGCCGACTCGCCAAAGTCAACCGGAAAGTGGGGCTGGGAAGCCCTGAGCGAGGTGCAAGATCCACGCAARAAAAAAAAAAAAAAAAAAAAAAARGAGAACTAAAGGACATCTCAGCCGACTCGCCAAAGTCAACCATCGCCAACGCAGCCTGGGAAAGCGGGGCTGGGAAGCMTTGAGCGAGGTGGAAGATCCACGCGTCGTGACGACAGGAGTAGAAAAAWACCTTTCCTGCCGAGAGATTTGAATCCAGCCCAGCAACGTTTGAATGGTCCGCAGTGGCCGCACGTCGGAAGCTACGAACCTTCCCGCTCTTACGGCTCGGTTCATGCTCTTCACAGAGAATACATAGCCGCAATAGGGAGAACACAGTCTGCGGCCTCATCCCACCATACTTACGGTAAGTTTTTTTGTCTTTTCTTTTCTTTTTTACAATGGTGACGGTCTTCAGATATCATAATTGAGCTGACCGAGCCCAAAGCAATTCAGAAATGTTCGGTTTAACTCGTCAAGTTCCGTCATCTCTTGGGTGGTGAAGTAAGGTATCGATTTTCGGCCTATTCCTTGAACCCCGGACACTCTGGTGYGAACGGAGGGATGTGGAAACGGTCGTGGACGTGGCGTTCGTCGAGTGAATGTCGGGAGATGCAAAAACAATTCAGGAGCTGTCAGGGAAAGGTTTAGGACAGCTCTCGAGAAGGGATCGTTTCCACTTCAGGCCTGCAACTTGCACACTTTCAACAGTCCTCGGAAGGGATGTCGAATTCTTGCCCGAATGTCGAAAAAGAGAACGCACCAACGCTTGTCCTATAAAAGTTTGCAGTCCGTTTGCAGTCCGGCCGCCGCCCACSTAATGGGTCTCGCTCCACTACTGTCCACTGTACAAAATTGTGAACAGTTCGCGGACAGCTATGGGAGCGTACAAAAATYGTGCCGCGTACAAAAATCGTGGAAACGCGGCATCGCTCCAYSTGCTGTGCACTATACAACACCSAAATTCGCGAGTTCCCTAGGRGACACGGGCGCAGCACTACAAGACACAGCCTTGAAAAYGCGTTATGGCTCCACTTGSTTTAGGGCCTCGCCACACCAATGTCGAAAACCGCATTTTTGACATTTTCTCCTCGCCACACAGCATGTCGAAATCCGAGATGCGGAAAAAAATCAGGAGCTGTCAGGGAAAGGGTTTCTACACATCCTGTCGACAAGGGCTCGTTTCCCAGCCTGCAACTTGGAGRTTTTCAACAGTCCTCGGATGGGATGTCTAATTCTTGCCCGAATGTCAAAAAAGAGAACGCACCAACACCCTAGTTTGTCTCTTTTGTGGATAGGACTAGTGAGTTCTTCACTTCGCCATGCTGTGTGGCCAAGAGGGGTTTTCTGTCCAAAGAGGGAATGTCGAGAATTTCCTGACATATGTCGAATTTCGTGATGTTTCGACATTGGTGTGGCGAGGCCCTTAGAGGCTCGCCACACAGGCTGTCGAAAACCCTGTTTTGGACAACTTTGCATCGCCACACAGACTTTTGAAGAATTGCGGCTCAAAAAACTTTCAACAGGTGTCAGAATGGTCCTTCGACAGCCGCCCTCCAGCAACGGTTTCCTCCCGCCTGCAGGTGAAAAAAATTTGACAGTGCCCCACCGGGCTTTCGAAAATTGCGTTCGAATTTGCGTTGTCAGGGAATGCTCCCTGGCAGCCGTGGCCTGTTTGTCGGTATATAGTCAACAGTTGCTGTTGAAAACGACGTGGGCATCTGGTCCCCGTCCGTGCACAAATTCATCCATTTAACAACGACCGCCTTCGCCACACAGCACCTGTCGAAAGGCGGCTTCGACTTGTCAACTTTCGAGAACCTCGCCCCCTCGACAGGATGTGTGGCGATAGGGGGGTCGAAAATGTACTGACACCTGTCAAAATTTTCGACTTTCGACAGCCTGTGTGGAGAGCCTCTTACACTGTGGGCCTCACTGCACTACACTAGACACATGAAAAATTTCAAGAGTATGTCTAGCGCTGTCAGACTCATGGATTGGCATCAAGTGTTGTCGTTGCTGCACTTAGGGCATACTCACACCGGGACCTATATTCCCAAAATCCCAAAAAAAAGGGCAAAAGGCCAGTCACACGGATCTACCAAATTCGCAAATGTACTATTCCTGTGCCCATTTGTCASCGCCCTGGGCCGCGGGGGAAGGGATTTTGGGGTCACCTCTGCAGGTGACCGCAAATGCCCTATTTATTTTTTCACATTTTCTTCTAGAATTGGTGAAAATTCGTTCACGAAAGTTCTTGCACGTTTTCTGTGGATGGCGCCGAGTGACCAGCAAWGTACCAAATCCCCATTTCTCCAGACGGCCGCGAYCTTGTCTCATCTGAAAAGGTACAGCAGTGCGACCYGGACCATGCCCAAAACCTCAAATCGGCCCTTCCCAAATCCGCATATTTTGCAGATTTGGGGGCGCCGTGTGAGTATGCCCTTACTCCGGACTGTGGACACTCGTGGAATCTTCAAGACAGTGGGATAGAAGATAGAGAAACTCAAAAAACAGTACACCATAGGGCAGAGAGTATTTGTCCTCCGAGACAAGAAGTGAACTCTCGAATTTGCAATCCGCACGAAGGGTCGGGTCAGCCTCGTTTGAAAAAACTGCCCCTGCGGACAGGAACTGTGGAATCTTCAAGAGCTCATCCGATGGGCCATTTCTAAGCCCTATTAAAGGACCAGACTAGGAGCATTTTTTCACAGCTGCAGCGATGACTCACTCTCGACGTTTTCGAGAGTGAACCTGACAGCTCTTGAATGAAAATTCAGGACACGGCATCAAGAGTTAGTGCACCGGTCATGAACTCTTGATTCGTCAAGATTCAAGAGTAGTGCAGTGAGGCCCTATACAACACCCAAATTCGTGAGTGCAGCACTACAAGACACAACTTCAATAACATTTTTTACGCCCAGTGTGACGCACGTGCAGAGGGCACGTGCGGAGATGGAGAGAGAGAGAGAGAGAGAGAGAGAGAGAGGTGATGGACACACACAAAGAGCAGCACCTGAGTGAAGGTTATGTCCACTTCAATGAATGAACGAACAACTGAAAGAATGATCTACTACCCGGCCGGGGCCAAGGCCTGAGAAATATAYYRGCCTTGGTTCAGGCCGGAGTAACCCGGTACYGGACCTGGGTCAGGCCGACGGCCTGAAACAGGTCCTGGSTCACTTCCGCACCCGAGGGTACCGCTACATGATCCTCGGACCTCTAAATGGATCAAGCGATACATCAACACGCAATCCGCTGAAATAGCGGAAACCCAGCRGAACGACAAAGAAACAATCCTAAATGCGAAGCAAGCTCCATGTAGAAAAGAGATGCAATGCAGACTAAGCCTCAAGCCTAATCTATACAACAATGTCTAGTCTGAGTCGACCCAAAAAGAAAAAAAATCTCTGACCTGWGTCGGCCAACAAAGAGAGCAATGTCTAACCTGGGTCGGCCAAGAAAGCGAAAAATGTCTCCTAAGCCAATGTGGTTAAGYATAAGTCAACACTTGAGCCCTAAAGGCTAAAAGTAACAACATCAACAYCCACACCTAAAAAGAATGTGYCACAGTCTCACGTGCCCTATACAAGTACAAAATAGCTGAATAGTAGGCAGGGAGCTCAGTCGCATGGRAAAAGTAGGGATGGATGGGAGGGCAACAAGTACAACTCTCATAGTAAACTCCAMGGGGTWACCCACACAACCATATGAAGGATCAAGCAATGCATCAATACGCAATCCGCYGAAATAGTGTAAGCCCAGAGGAMCGACAAAGAAACAATGCARACTCCGTGCATAAAAGAGATGCAATGCAGAAAGCATCAAGCCTAATCTATACAACAATGTCTGGTCGGAGTCGACGCAAATAGCAAGAAAATGTTTGACTTGTGTCSGCCARCAAAGARAGAAATGTCAGACTTGTGTCGGCCAAGGAAGAGAAAAATGTCCCCTAAGCCAATCTCGYATAAGTCAAGACCTGARTCATAAARGCTAAAAGTAACAACATCAATATCCAYACTAAAAAAGAATGTGACACAGTCTCACRTGCCCTGATGATGTTTTGTATAGTTGTGTGGGTACCCCCTTGGAGTTTACTCTGAGAGYTGTACTTGCCGCTATCCCATTCATCCCTGCTTTTCCAATGCGATTGAGCTTCCCGCCTTCTATTCGRCTATTGTGTACTTGTATAGGGCACGTGAGACTGTGTCACATTCTTTTTAGGTGTGGATATCAACAGAAAAATTTCCCAGAATTAAATACTCATTCT